AATAAAGAATAGACGCAACGTGAATAACTACTGCACACATTGGCTTCAATCAACTCGACATCGCAAATAGATCATAACAGATAAACTATCAACTCATCATCTAAAATATACTTACATAAGCTTGCGAAGTCAAGTCATATGCAAACTAGGTACATAGACAGATACTTACATTATCAGTCAAGCGCTTCCAGTCTTTAGCCAGATCAAACATTTTGAGGCGATCCTCAATCAAGGCATGGCGGGCACTTTGATGAATGATAGGCTGTGTGGTAGAAACAGGTCAGTCTGGGAGTATGTACAGATGATACTGAGTATAGTACCAACAATAGAGTCGACGACTGCATAGACAATACACACGAATCACGTATCTATTAGAATCTTGCATAGGTTTAAATACTTGTGTATTATTTTGAAGCATTTAAATTATATAAAAATGTACTACATGTACCATGATATAACACACATACAAATAGATAGTATATGTATGTGTATCACACAAACACACACACACACACACACACACACACACACATATATATATGTATATATATATTATATATATATACATATACATATATACATCTATATATATATATAAATTTATACGTGTATATTTCTTTATAATGGACGACATAGTTGCGAGACAATATCTATTGCTGACCACCAACAGCACCCGCACGGTTGCAAATACCGTCCATGTTCGTCAGAGAAAGTCGCACCCGCTTTGTAGTAAATCCATGGCAAAATCTTGAAACATGTAAGTACAAACAAACACATACCTCTTGCGGGTTGGCAGGCTTAGCATATCGTTGAGAGATGTCCACCACCTTTGCATTCGCACTGAGCGATTGCACTTTCTGTAAAAACGGTGTTGTATTAGGCATATACGGTGATTCGATCGGGGGACGATGGAGTGAGCGTGTGTGCGGACAGGGACATGGTACATGACATGCGTGAATTGATGTCTACAAAATTTTCTATTTGCATATGTATACGTGTACACATGTACGTATATATGGATATCATATCGATTCAACTACATATGAATATGGACATAGACGCTGCAGTGTAGCTCTGCACACAGAGAAATGTATCTATCACAGTGCACGAAAACACCTGCCCACACAGCCCATCATTGTTCTTGATAATACGAATGTAAACACACAAACACAAATAAAAGAAACACACACACACACACACACATACATACATACACACACACACTATATATATATAGTATACATATACATATACATATACATACATAT